TCATAGCCTCCAACCATTCCTTTTGAAATATATATATATGTTTGTTTTGACCATATATGTATAGAGACATTAAATTGCTCGAGTCATATATAGGGTTATGACTGTAATTATGAAAATTGTTAAGTAATTTCAAGCTAATAACCTCATTTTTCTCGAAATTGGACCCAATGATTAAACATTTGACAAATATGATTCTAGAGGTTAATATATAATATGCATTTTCTTATAATATTATATTTTATATCATCAATATAAAATGGGCATTTTTGTAACAAGTTTACCATTTTAAATAGAGCAATTCACTATCATGTGATGCTTGATAAGAGCAGTTTGTAATAAGTTATGTTAATTTATGTTTAGTATGATGTTAATAGGAAATTTAATTAAATGTTATTCAAAATTTGAACGTTTAAATGACAATATCAGATTATTCAAAGGCATTTATTTACATACAAACCACCCAATTCTTATGTATTTACATATCTAACACCTAAATTTTTCTTTCTATATTTATATCATCCAAATCTTTCATATCACAAAAAATACGATAATTTTAACTTTTAAAATGTGTAAAAAGTGAAAAATACCTTTTCATGCATGAGTTATGTATTTACATATCTAACACCTAAATTTTTCTTTCTATATTTATATCATCCAAATCTTTCATATCACAAAAAATACGATAATTTTAACTTTTAAAATGTGTAAAAAGTGAAAAATACCTTTTCATGCATGAGTAAGGTGGCATGTATGTAAAAAATCGAAGTTTAGGTGTTAGATATGTAAATACATGTGAATTGAGTGGTATGCATGTAAATCTTCCAATATAATATGAAAATGGACATTTTTTTTCCATTTCTGAATTTAAATTTGTTTTATTATAGATATTGTGTTATCTCTTAAATTCTACTCTATTATATTGTTGCTTTTGTTTTTTCTATTGAGTTTTATTGTAATGTTTTGGTTATTGTACTTTAAAAAAAAAAAAAAAAAAAAGAATAGTCGGAGGTTGTGATATGAGCCCCTGGCCGCCTTCATGTGCATATCCACTCGATCGAGCTCTGCAAAGCAGATGCACTCAGGCCGGCTCGAACCCGTGACCCAAAGGGACTTAGAACTGACTTCGTAGATGTCAACCAAAAAAGTCTCGGTGAGCGGCACATGTTTTGGTTATATCACTTAAATGTATGCTATCTTGTGTTATAATAATTTATTTTACATTCTTAATTGTAGTATGTTATGCCCATTCATCATCTTCAAATTGGGTTTTTATCTATATAGATATAAATACATGCATACATATACATATTATATAGTTGCTTTTATTTAAATGATAATGATAAAGGGAATGAACATATTTATCACACAATTTTTATGTATCTAGATATTTACATATGATATGCCTCGAGGCGTTTGACACAGATCTCAAAGCATATTTGGAATTAAAATTTTTTTTGATTCAAATTAAAAATCATCTAGAGCTTCAATTTCAGCAAACTTCTAATCAAACAAACTATCTCGACGAGATGAACCCAATGACACCAACATTGATCCAATTCGAGTCAAATCAAGAGCAGATCAAGCCAGAAAATCACTTTTGAAAGCTTTAGGTGGTCAATTGGAGGGTCATATGGATTCTAAAACTGACAAACTTATAGTCGAATCGAGCGTCTAAAAGAAATAAATCCAACAAGTCAAATAACACTCAATTTCGTTGCCATTAAGGCACTTAAATGTTTATAAAATGTCATATAACAATCATTATGGGCCATCTGATAGAGTAGTTCATATTCCTACCTTATTTATAGGCGATGTCATTCTCATAATATATAAATAGAGTCTTACTCCTTTCATGAACTAGGGACCTGAACTTCAAGAGGAAGATAAAAAAAGCCAATTTTCAGAGTTGTTCTAGACTGAAGACTGCCATTGACCACCATCTACTGTTGACCACTGTTGGTTGCCCCCTGCTCATCACCAATGGTGGACCTTTGTGGAGTAACGATGTACATTACAACTAAGCAACTTGCAAAGTAAAGGCATACATTGCTTAATAATGAAGCATTGTGTAGAGTAACAAAGCACCTAATGGAATAATGTAGTGTCTTAAATATTGTGCAACAATGTAACTCAGATGTGGCATGCAAAAGTTCTAGTGATAACACTCTATAAAAACTGCTTGCAATGACAAAACTTAAAATACAACGACCATCTCCGGACTCTTGAAGTTCTCTTCTTATGTTTTTATGTCTCTATTGCCACTGCCTATCAATATAACACCAACTAGGAGCTCTGTTGGCCAACTAATACTCTTGTAGCCCCCCGCTATGACATATGTGACCAACTATGATCTACGTGTCTCACGGTTCATATAGCTCCTAACTCTGACTCCTGTGGCTTACATAAGTTATTGTAGCTCCCAACTTTGACCTTTGTGGTGTATGAACATTTATTATAGCTCACCATTATGACCTATGTGACTAATTATGGACTACATGATTCACAACACACACAGATCTCAACTCTTACCTCTGTGGACTATGGATGCTATATATTGGAGCTCTCAACTCTGACGTCTTTAGCCTACAAATGTTATTGCAGCCACCACTACAACTTATACGACCAACTATGACCTCATGGCTCACAACTCATATGGCTCCTAACTCTAGCTTCTGTGCCTTACAAAGGTTATTACAAATTCTAACTCCAACTCTTTGGCCTACAAACATTATTATAGCTCACTATTACGACCTATGTGATCAATTATGACATACGTGGCTCACAACTCACACAACTCCTAAGTCTGACCTCTGTGACCTACAGATGTTATTGCAGCTCACCACTATGACCTATTTCACCAACTATGACCTTCATGGCTCACACTTCATACAAATCCCAATTGTAGCCTTTGTGGCCTACAATGTTATTACAGTTCACTAATACAATTTATGTGACCAACTGAGGCCTACGTGCCTCACAGCTAACATAGTTCCCAATTCCAACCCTTGTGGCCTAAGGCTTTGTTGCAGCTCACCACTACGACCCATGTAAATAAATATGGCCTACTTGGCTCCCAACTCCACCTATGTGGGTTGAGGATGTTGTTATAGCCCTCAACTTTGGTTTTTGTGGCCTACAAATACTATTATAGCTCACCACTACAACCTATGTGGCTCATAACCCACAAAACTCCCAACTCTTCCCTCTATAACCTACAAACGTTATTGCAGCTCACCACTATTTCTTATGTGACCAATTATGTCTTACTTGGCTCAAAAGTCACACAACTCTCAACTCTAACCTTTATGGGCTACATACATTATTGCTGCTCTCAATTACAGTCTTTATGGCTTGCAAGCATTATTACATCTTACCACTATGACCTATGTGACCAACTATGACATACATGACTCACTTCTCATATAACTCCCAACTTTGGCCTTTATGGCCTATATACATTATCAGAACTCACCACATGTCCCATGTGATCAACTACGACTTATGTAGCTCACAGTTCATACAGCTCCCAACTTCAGTCTCTATACTATACGAACATTAGTGCAACTCTCTATTATAACTTACATGGTCAATTGATGTCTTTATAACCATCCTCTATGGCATCTGTAAGCCAGCTAACATTATCTCAACTCATCATTATGACCCATGTGACAAACAATGACTTATGTGGCTCATAGCTCATGCAGTCTTCCAACTTTAACCTCTATGACAGACAAACATTAGTGCAACTCTCTATTATAACTTATGTTGTCAATTAATGTCATTACATCCATCCCACTATGGCCTCTATGGCTCACCAACACTATTATAGATCTCCACTACATTTTTTGGGGCTAATTGATGCTTATGAAGCCACTAATAATGATTATTTGACAAACTACTACTACGACTTTTAACTATGACCTCTACGACATGCTGAGGTTGTTCTAACCACAAAAAACTACATTTGTTGTAACCTGATCGTGGCTATGAAAGCCGAACCACTATTATAATTTTGTAATTTCATCTTTCATATTTCAGGAGAAGAGTAGACCTATGTACTCACAATTACATAGTAGTTCAGCTCGATTAGCTGCTGTGATTTTTTTTTTCCATATTTAGGGTTTTCCACGTTAAAATCATAGTATCTCTCGCTCTACTACTTTCTTTTATCTGTCTATGTCTTCGATCCTTATGCAATGCTAAAACACTAATTTATTACTCTACCACCACGAATCTTCTGACACACAACATATATAATACCTAAACTTCATTATCTATTATATAATACTTAAATATTTAACATCACATAAAAAAATCACCTTTATTAAAATTTTGAAACTAAAATATAACTTTATGTATATATTCATTTTAATATGATTTTAACATTAAAGAATTAAATAAGTAAATAACAAAGTTTAGGCGGTAGGTATTAATGCATAAAGATTGTATGTTATATATGTAAATCCCCCAATATTAGTTACTATTTTATAAAACTATTATTTTTTTTACTTAAATAATATCCATAATTCAACTTACAATGTCATTATTTACTCAAATCTAAAGTCAAACTAAATTTAAAAAAAAAGACATTAAGCTTTCAAATTTGAGATTAAAATTAGTTAATTAATCAAACATACAATCTTTAATTAGAAAATAAATAATACGATAAGATTATTTTTTATTTACTCAATAAATATTATTCGAATATAAATTAGGTAGCTCATTAATTTACTCATTAACAATAATGATACGATCATCATCATATGAAACAAACAAGAATTAGACTTGATCAGAAAGTAAGTTTGAACATAAACATTTTGATTAGAGCTCGTGCCCTTAAAAGCCCAAAAGCTACCCAAAAGCCCAAACCCCAAAAGCCCAAAAGCCCAAAAGCCCAAAAGACCAAAACCCCAAAAGCCCAAAAGCCCAAAAGCCCAATTATTGATAAACGGTCCAATTATTTTGCAGCCCGGTACTTTGAGCCCAGAATAAACCATCTCTGACCCGACACCGGCCTCTTGCTATCGCGTTCTTGATCTCTCTTCGGTAACCAAAACCCTAGATCGCTACCAGCGGACATGAGATCGTTATCTCGATTCCTCTCTTCCTACATCATTTCACAGAGTCTCCTAGACGGCTTATCTTCCGGCCATTTTGTAAGCTTCTTCTCTTCCTTCAGCAGCGGAAATGAAGTACCCGAAAGCATCGCCTACCGCCGTTCAATGCTCCGTCCGCCTTCCATTGTGGCACCTCCGAAGCTGCGCTACAATGCGTGCAGCTTCATCGGGACTGTCGTGAGCCGCGTGCAATGCTCCGGCAAGTGCAGCCGCGGCCTGAGGGCTTTCGCCTTCCTAAAAGTGAAAAGCGATCCGCGATTGCAGATCTCCTCTTATTTCCGGTGAGATTCGTCGACCATGTGGCAGTTTTACTTGCTCTTATTTGTCTTTGTGCTGATCTTAATTGTTTCGTGGGTTGCTGCATTTGTCCCCTTCATTTTTTGTGCTTAAATTAGTATTGATTATTTTCAATTTTCAAAGTTTATTAAGTATATATCTATGATATGAATCAAATTTAGTTAGGAGGGTGGAGGAAAATGCTTGCTCAAGAAAATTGATCGTATAAGGTCATAAATTCTGATCATATATTTTGCTATCTAGGGTTTTAGATTTAAGTTATGTTTGTTGTCTGTTTTTTTGGGTACTTTTTGTTTGCTATATTGTTGTGTCATTTTCTTTTTTTATTCTCTTTACTATTCAAATAACTTCACAAATAGAATTGAATTTTCTTAAATCCCTTGTCTAAAATTTATAGGGAGATTTACATACATAGCGAACTGGTGACAGCCTTTACCTTGATGATGTGGAGCACCACATTGCAACTTGTTGAGATCCAATGTTGCATCTTTCTTTCAATTGATGCCACATTCTCTCCATCTTATTAAATTAAGTAGTAGCTGTAGGGATCCCATTTCCGGAGGGTGGAGGAGGATGATGGTAGTGGGTTTTTTGTATAAGCATTGGTGCTCAACATCTGGGACGAGGTCATTAGAATAGATTGTTAACAGTAGGGAATGCTGAAGAGAAGAGGACTGAGAAGTGAAATCTTCTAAATCTCTTTAAATTGTAAAAAGAAAAATGCTTAAATCCAGTATTTATCAAATAATTAAAGTTAGCTTCCCTCCCTCCCTAAACATATAGGAGAAAATAATTATTCCTCTTTAATTTCATAAGACTCGTTTACAAGATAAATAGCAGGGGAAGTCCGCCACATTAGGAAAGTCACAAAATACTCATTCTAGAAAAAATAAATAGAAATTATTAAGATATCAAAGGAAGAAAATTCCAAAAATTTTGACACCCTCTCAAGTTGGAGTATAGATATCTAGCTTGCTCAACTTGTTTACATGGAACTCAAAGCAAGGCCTAAAAGAATATCTTGTGAAGATGTCTATTATTTTTTGCGTTATCGAAGTGAAAGGCATGCAAATAGGTCCACAATCAATCTTCTCTTTTATGAAGTGTCTATCAATCTCCACATATTTTGTGCGATCATGTTGCGCGAGATTTTTTGCAATGCTTATGACAATTTTATTGTCACAGTACAGCTTCATTGACATGTTTATCGGGATCGATAGCTCTTCAAGAATTCTTATTTTGTCTCAACACTACTCCTTGCCGCCACATTCTGTTTCTTGCTTCGTCATGCAACCAGATTTTCTCAGACATAAGCGCAATATCCAAACTTTGATTTCTTGTAAACAACTAAGCCCACCCAATATGCATTAGTGAATGCATCTATATTTTGTTGTGTGGTCTTCTAAAAGAGTAAATCTTTACCTGATGTACTTTTTAGGTGTCTGAGAATATTGTTAACTGCTTCAAGGTGTTTCTTCAAAGGCAAATGCATAAATTAACTTACCAAAATTATAATAAAGGCAATATATGTTCATGTATTTGATAAGTATATCAAATTTTCCACCAATTTTGGGTATCAAGCTGTATTCATCAGGTCACCTTATTTCTCACCTCCCAGTTTTTGATTGAGATCAATTGGACTGTCTGCAATCCTATAATCACTCATCCCAATTTTTCTTAGAAGATCAAGAACATTCCTCCGTTGGGAATTATCAATTTCTTTCTTCGATTTAGCAACCTCCATGCCAAGGACATATCTCAAAGAGTTTAAGTTTGTGGTCTCAAAAACTGATGAGAGGGAACTCTTCAACCAGTTCATTTCTTATATGTCAACTCCGGTATGAATTATATCATTCACATACACAATTAATATGATTATCCTCCCATCTTCTGACTGTTTGAAGAATATTATTTGATCTGCTTGCTCTTGAGTATACCCTTGACCTTTAACAATCAATGTAAATTTCTCAAACCACACTTTCAGTGACTGCTTCAACCTGTATTAAAACTTTTTTACTTTACACATTTATGTGTCGTTCTTCCCACTAAATCATAGAAGTGCATTCGTGTACACTTCTTCCTCTTTCCATTGAGAAATGCATTATTTATATCCAACCGTTGAAAGGGTCAGTCAATATAGTTTCAAGTGACAAAAAAACTCCTAGAGTTAGTTTTGCGAGTGGAGAATGTCTCTAAGTAGTCAATATCATAAGTTCGAGTGAATCCCTTAACAACCAGTCGAGTCTCGTATCGTTTTAGAGAGAAATTAGAATTATACTTAATTGTAAACACCCATTTGCATCCAACAATTTTCTTTTTTCTAGGTAGATCAACCAATGCCCACATGTCATTTTTTTCAGAGCTTTCATCTCGAAGTTAGTCTTATTCAACTTATGAACTTTTAGAGCATTCTGTAAAGTATTATAAATTTCCATACAAGACAAATTGTGATAAAAGCCCAAAAATGGGTGAGAGTTTTTTATTACACATAATGAGACAATGAATGTGGGATGCAATATCTCACCCCCTTACAAGAAACAATGAGATGTCTAGAATCATTAGAATTAGGATTATGGCAAGACTCAGGTTCAGGACTAGACTTGGAACTCAAAGATAAAGTGAACTGATCATGGTGTAAAAACTCAGTTAGGACATTACTTAAGATTCATGGATTTCGGGCATTGCAAGGGATTTGTAGACTTTCTTTTGAGTTGTCATTTGTCTTGAGTAGATAATGTCAAATAATATCACTATCGTATTTTTTTTTTTTTTGTTTTCTGTTTGTTAGTTGTAGTATTATAGACATCATAAGATGACACTCTAGTATGATCTGAATCGTTTTCAATATCTGAAAAACTCAACTCACTTTCTCTTAATATAATATAACTTGGATTTTCAGGTTGAACAATCAAAATTGAGAGCTATTATTTTGTGAGTCTTTGGTTTAAAGAAAATCTTAAAAACCAATTGTTGAATCTTTATTTTATCCCTCCATTGAAGATGAGATGAAAAAAGAGTTGTAATTAAAGAAATGTGACATCCATGGAAACAAATACTTTTTTAGAAATTGGATCAAAACATTCATACCTTTTTTGGTGGGAGTATAATCAACAAACACACATTTTATGGCTCGGGATTCAAGTTTTCCTTGATTATTACTATGAATGTGAATGTGAACAAATACAATACGACCAAATATCTTTAAAGGCAAAGAATATGAAAGCCAATATGTTGGGTGAATTTTATGAAAAATATTAACAGAAATTTCAAAGTTCAAAATTTTATCTGGTGCTCTATTAATGAAGAATGTAGCAGTAAGAATGATTTCTTTTCACATATATTGTAATATTTGATTTGTAATTAGCAATGCCAGAGCTGCTTCCAATGAATATTTATTTTTTCTTTCAGCCGACATTATTTTGTTATGAGGTGTGGACACAAGAACTTTGATGAACTATTTATTTTTTGAAAAAAATTGACCCAAAATATTTTTGTAATACTCTCGACTATTATTATTCGGTAATATTTGTATAACTTTCTGAAATTATGTTTGTACCATTGTGTAAAAGTTTTTTAAAATTATTTTCATTTTAATTTTTTCTTTCATTAAATACACCCAACTTAACATTGTGTGATCATCAATAATTGCATCAAATCATTTTTTCCAGCGTTGAAGATGTTTACAATGACTCCAGACATCATTATGAATTAGAATAAAAAGTTATAATTTTTTATTTGGGGAGGAAAAGACACGCAATGTTTAACAAACTGACAGATTTCACATTGGAAACATGATAATTTTTCTTTTGGAAAAAAACTAAGAAATAAGAATTTTAAATATTGAAAATTATGATGACCTATCTTATAATACCATAACATAATATCATTGTTTTTGGAAACAAAATTAGAATTTAAACAAATACTTTGATATTGTCTATTCACATCAAATTTATCGTAAAAATAATAGTTTATTCTTTTTCTCAACACTGCTAATCATCCTCCCAACGGTCAATTTTTGAAACTAACAACAAGAAAAATAAAATTAATTTGACACTAATAATCAGAGTAATTTGGCTAATGCACAATAAATTAAAAGACAAATTGTGAACATGGAGCATGCCACGAGGAGTTAACAATGAGGTGATTACTGAGAGGGACATATCGATAATTTTGACTCTTTTATTGACTACACAAGGTCTATAAGATGAGAATGATTTAAAACTACTAGTTTTATGTTTAGTTGTGCCAGAATCAATTGTCCAAGAATAAATAAATTAGGATTAAAACTTATCAATGCAGTGGCTAAAGAACCACCGTTATTTACTAATAAGCAAGACATAGTTGGTGACATTTTTGGAGATTGAAAAGAACTTGTGCAGGTGAAATGTATTGCATCCGAGTTGGTAGGAGGCTCTTGGGTTTTCATCAACTGTGGCATGATAGGTCTGACCTTCACGTTTATATTTTGGTCTTCAATTTGCGGGTTTATCATGAAGCTTCCAATATGTCTCCTTCATATGCCATAATTTTTTGCAGTACTCACACCACCATGATTAGGGCAAATTGGTTTTGGAATTACTTGAATTGGTAGAAATGGTAGGATTTTTTTGGCCGATGGTTATCCCCGACTTATATGATATCAACAGAGGAGAGAAGAGAATGTTTGAAAATTCGAGTTGTTTCGGTCGCCAGTTATTTTGGTGCTTAATTTTAAGAGTTGGTGGCTCCGGCGAAGAAAAAGCTAAAGGGTTTGAAACAAATTGAGTATTTAATGGGCATACTTCCACAATTCGATTTTTCGGTTCACGGACTCGGGAATGGAAGCATTCTATGTAAAAAAACTGTAAGGAATGAAAAACGGTCCTCTTTCCC